ACCTATCCATCCACCATCCATCCATCCCATCATCTATCCATCCATTCATCATCCACCCATCTATCCATCCATCTATCCATCCATCCATCCATCCAATCATCTCTCCATTTATTTATTCAGCCATTTATTTACCACAAACTATGTGCCTGGCTGGGCTTTAGGCCCTGATGACATAAAGTGATCAAGATAAAGGCCCGCCCCTCATGATGTTGACAATATCAGTGTTGGGAGAATAGACTAGAAAATAAGTGAATAAATAAGTTAGTAAAGTCATGTGGTATAAACTGCTGGACACATAAACAGGTAGGATAGTGGAATAGCATGGGATGAGCTTCTCTTCCAGATGGGGTGAGAAGCAGATATCCTCTGTTTGCCCTTCCAGACCCCCCTTCACCCCATTCTGTGTCTCAGAGCAAATCTGGGTAGATAGCACCAACCTTAGGACCCCATGCCTCCCCAAGGTAGATGCCAGAAAACTCACTTTCTTAGCCTCTCTTGCAGCCTAGGTACAGCCATGACAGCTGTTTTGGAGAAACAGAAAGGAGCCCGAGAGGTAGACGTGGGAACTGAGGTTCTGACAGGGCAAGGGGTCCCTATGAAACCAGGTAGCTGGGGAGGGGAGGAGGCCGGCTTTGAGCCCAGGTGTACTGGATCTCTCAATTTGAGCCCCTCACCGGTTCACGGCCCTCACTGTGGGCGGTTGCAACAAGTTGACAGGAAGAGAAGGAAAAGTTGAGAAGGTCAGCCGGCGTCACACCCTGAGGCCCAGCTTAGCGTTTACCAGCCACCTGCGGTAATCCAGACGTGGCTCTGCCCTTCATAAGCGTGGGCTCACCACAACCCTACAAGACAGGATGAGCAAATCAGGATTCAGAAAAGTCAAGCAAATTGCTTGAAGTCACACACAAAAGGAGTCAGTATACCCCACCTCCAACAAGAAGACCAACTGAAGGGGCGCCTGGGTGGCTCCGTCATTAAGCGTCTGCCTTGGGCTCAGGTCATGGTCCCAGCGTCCTGGGATCGAGCCCCGCATCGGGCTCGCCGCTCGTCGGGAGGCCTGCTTCTTCCTCTCCCACTCCCCCTGCTTGTGTTCCCTCTCTTGCTGTCTCTCTGTCAAATAAATAAAATCTTAAAAAAAAAAAAAAAAGAAGACCAGCTGAAGATGTGCTAAAACTTGAGATTTCTAGGGATGGCAGAGTCATGAACAGGAAGGAGCCTGGGACATTGAGAGCTTTGTGGAGTCTCCAGACCAGCCCTGAACTGCCTACATCTGGACTTCATTCACACGAGAGAAAAATAAACTCTTTTGTTTATTGTTGATTTTTTTCAAGTTAAGTTTATTATATTTTATTATGACTACATTTGTATATCCTAGTGGTACACTCTAATGCAAAATGTCAGCTAGAACACACGCTGTGTCTTTTTATTTTAAAATGTGTTTTATATGTTTTTATCTACTTTGACTAGAATTTTAGCTGGAGTTATAGGAGGAAGCCTAGGCCAGAGAGGGGAAGCCACTTTCCTGAGGTCACACAGCAGAGGAGGGGCAGAGCTGGAGTTTGCAGGGCCCCAGATCCTAACCCCCAACCCTCATTTCTCAGAAGCTCCCAGCTTGAGGTGTTGCCAGACTTCCTCCAGGCTCGGCCGGGACAATGGGCAGTGTGGGCTACACCTACTCTGCCTGATTTCTCAGGGGCCCAGAGCATACCAGGAATGTGAGAGAAGACCCCGATTGAGGGATTGGTGGGGGCTGCGCCCCAGCTCTGCCACTGGCAAGCTGTATACCTCAGGGAAGACCTCAGCCTCTCTGAGCCTCAGTTTCCCTATCTAGTAATCCCCCCGGGCCGGGTCAGGAGCCCTGTAGGTTCCCTGAGGCTCCGTACTGAAAATGTTTGCTACCTCAAGGAGGATAGAGCACCAGACCCCACAAAGTGGAAACTGCCGGATTGCAGGCAGTATCACTGGTATTAGGAGGTAGGTGCACCAAGTATGGTGCAATCAGTTCTGGGTTCAAATCCTGACCCCACACCTAGCAGCTGCGTGAGCTGGCGATTGAGTGCGGGAGCCTGACAGCGAAGAAACGGACGAACGTGGAGCACACAGGATGCCAAGAAGACACACAAAGCAAACTAAAGTCGGGGGAGGGCGAGACGGCAGGAGGGGCTCTCTGAGGCAGAGTGGTCAGGGAGGCACCCCGGAGGACGGGACATCGGGGCAGAGGCCTGAATGGTGTGAGATGTGGGGTCCCGGGGCAGCTGAGCCTGCTCCCGCCCATCACCCTGCAACTATTCCCTGGCCTTGTCCTTCCTCAGAGCAGGAACCATGCAGAGGCCCCTCTGTGTCCCAGGCAGCAGCCCAGGGGTGGTTGAGTGAAGCCAGGGACGCTGGCCCTCTCCTTCCCACCCCCTAAGCATCCAGTCCATCAGCAAGGCTATGCGTTCTGGCTCCTGAGGTTCTCGCAACTCCGTCACTTCCTTGGGTCCCTGCTCATTTCCCGCCTGGACTGTGGCAGGAGCCCCCTCCCCGGTCCCCCTGCTTCCGCCTCGCCCTCCCACAGTCTGTCCCACCCACAGCATCTGCATTAGTCTCCCCTGGCTCCTGTAACAAATCACGACAAATGTCGTGGCTGAAAACGACACAGATGTATTCGCTTGCAGTTCCGGAGCTCAGAAGTCTGAAATCAGCCTCGGGATAAAGTCAAGGGGCTGGCAGGGCTGCATCCAGGGGGGCGCTGCTCCCTTGCCTTGTTCTGCTTCCGGGGCTCACCTGCATTCCTTGGCTTGCGGCCCCTTCTTTTGTCTGCTAAGCGTGCCCCTCCAGCCTCTGTTTCTGTCTGTCTCCTCTCTCGGCCCTCTCCTCTTCTGTAACCAAACCACCCTCCCTCGGCCTCCGTCTTATGAGACTCCTGAGATACCACTGAGCACACTCAGACAATCCAGAATCATCTTCCACCTCCAGCTCCTTAACTAAGTCACAGCTGCAAAGTTCCTTTTGCCATAGAAAGTAACATTCATAGGTTTGGGGGATTCAGAGGTGGACATCTTTGGGGAGCATTATTCAGCTGACAACAGCATCTAAAGGGATCCTGTTAGAACCTAAATCAGATCCTGTGCCCCTTCTGGTCAAAATCCTCCCTTGGCTCCCGCCCCCCTCAGAATTCATGCAAAGCCCTGACACGTCTCCCACCTCCTCTTCTTCTCCTCTCCTCCTCCCTCTCCTGGCTCCAGCCACAGGCCTCCCTCCTGTGCCTCAACAGTGCGTGTAGGCTCCTGCCTCAGGGCCTTTGCATATACCGTTCCCTCTGCCTAGAGCCTTTCGCCCTGCCTCTTCCCAAGGCTGGTTCCTTGTCATCCTTCAGGCCTCACTGCCTCAGAAAGGCCCTCTCGGACACCACCCTCTCCTCACAGTCACGTTTAACACAGTCTGAAATTACCCTGATTGTCTCCTTTCTTATTTATTGTCCCCTTCCCCCACTAGAGTGTTAGCTCCTAACGACCCAGGAGGGGCTGGGTCTGTCTGGTTCTCGGCTGTATCTCTGCTGCACCAAGGACAGGGCCGGGCACATGGTAGGTGCTCAGAAAATGCTTGCTCCATGAATCCATGTGTGGCCAATCTCAAATGTCCCTCAATGTTGCTGCAAATAAAATACAAATTCATTTAAAGGCATTCTGACCTGCCCAGGGCCTTTTTGGCTTGATTTATTTTCTTAGCCGGTGATTAAAACACTGCCTTCCGATGTAAAGAGTTGGTGAGGCATCATTTATACTAGGCAAGCAAGGACTCAGAAAGGCCTGGCATAGAGACAGGGGTCTCCTGAGGACAGGAGCCACCCGCAGAGGCGGGCGTTCTTCTGGTGAGAAGAGCAGGAGTGCGGCACATGGCCACCTGGGCAAGAGGTGATTTCTCTCTGTGCCTCAGTTTCTGCATCTGTAAAATGGGGAGCATAACAGGGCTTACCTTGCAGTGGGGACCTCAGTGCTATCGACCTTTGGGGCCAGATAATTCTGTGTTGTTGAAATTGAGCAGGATCCCTGGTCTCTACCCACCAGATGTCAGTAGCAGTCCCCCCGTTGTGACAACCCCAAATGTCCCCAGATATAGCCCCATGTCTCTCGGGGTGGGGGTGGGGGGGGCAAGACTGCCCTTGGCCGCCTCCTAGGGCCACCAGGGGGGTTGAGAGGTGATGTGGGCACAGCATCTGGCACTGAACCTGGCGCTCAGCAGCTGCTCAGGGAACGGGGCGGGTGGGGGGAGCCGCTGTCTGGTTAAGCGGGTGGCCAGGCTGGAATCCTGGCTCCACCACTCGTTAGCAGGTGGCCTTGGGTCAAGGGGCCCTCCGAGCCCAGTTTCTTCATCTGAAAAATGGGGCAACAAGAGCACTCACTGCCTTGGGGCCATCAGGAGCATTAGTGACCATGCCCAGCACACAGTAAGTGCTCAATAAATGGGAACCCTAATGAAGAGGGTGAGCGACGAGGAAAATGAAAGGCCCCGGAAAAGCGGGAGTAAGAGAAAGGGCACTTTGCAAGCTCTCCCTGGGGTCTCTGGAGTGTGTGCCCCTGCATTAATGGGGGACGCAGGGGCAGAGCTGCCCACACCCAGGGGGCCAGCAGTGCAGCCCCTCAGTCCCACTAGGCCATTTAATAATTAAACTGGAAAAGGGGTGATGGGGCTGGGAGGCCCGCGGTGACCAGGGCCTGGCCTTGTTTGGCTTCGGTGACGTGATGGCCCTGGGATCACGGCCTTCTTGAGCCCATAAACAGGGGGTTGGGCCCTGAGACAGGCAAGGCCGGGCCAAGGTCTGTGCTGGTGGCCTCCTGCCCGAGTCATGGAGGGGGTGGGAAGGGAGGCGTCCGGTGGCGGCCGCAGGGAGGGGGTCGCTGTGGAACCAGGGCTCACAGGGTCACCCCCCCCTCCCTCTACCGTTTCTCTCTCCTTCCCCGCCCAACCCCCTCTATTGTCCCCTCCAGTTTATTGTGCACTTACTATATGCAGGGCTCTGCCAAAGCACTTTATATAGATTGACTCCCCCCCGCCCCCATGATGAAGGGGTCCTCCGGTCCCGCCACAAGCCAGTGAGGCTCCCACGGCCCAGGTAAGCAAGCAGGGCTCCTAGCACGGGAGTCACCACATCCCGGCCCGGGGCCGGAGTCTCCCAAGCCAACCCCACAGCCCCAGCTCTTCCCTCTTGCCTCTCCCTCTCTCTGGGTCTCGCTGGGTCTCTCTGGGTCTCTCTGTCTCTGCGTGTGTGTTTCCTTCTGTTTCTGTATTTCTCATCTTCACTTCTCTGTCTCAATCTCTCTCTCTCACTGTGTTGCTCTCTCTCTTCTTCTCTCCCCGCCTAGCCTGTCTCTCTCTGACTGCCCCGCCTCGCGGCCCTGTCTCCCTGCAGCCAGCCCTTGTCCCGACGCCAGCACATTATGTCCCTGGTCAGACCCTGACGTCAGGCAGGGCCTGGCGGGCAGCCACGGGCTGCTGCCGGGCAGGCAGAAGGAGTGCACGCCTTCCCGGTCCCCACTGTAGTGGCCGCCTGCCCAGCTCCCAGCACCGGGCTCTGGCTCTCCCGGCCTGGCCTCGGCTGGCCTGAGAGCGGATGGCCCTTGGCGGCCGCCTGGCCTGTGAGCCTGGGGCTGCCAGCCTCTCGTGTCTCCCCCTCTTCACCCAGACCCCATGGCCACACGGGATGGCTCCTGGCCCTGCTCAGTCCCAACCAGCATTCTTCAACCGGGGGGCGGGGGGGAGGCTCAGAGAGGTGCAAGGGGGGTGGTTCTGGGTGACAGATGAGGGGGTGGCCCAGCTGGGGTTTTAGGGGCAGGGACTTGCCACGGGAGGGGGTGGTAAGGCCAGGCATGATGAAGGAACGCCCCACCTCAAGTACAAACAGTGCCCCTTGCCGAGTTGGTCTTAGGCCCCAGCAGAGCTTGAGTAAGTGGTTAAAAAAATGTAATATTTCTTGTTTGGTTTGTTTGGTTTTCCCCCTTGGATTTTCAAAGCAA